ACATCTTGTGAATTCATTTGTAACATATATGAATTGATCGGCAGAGCAACATACCGATATGGTAAAATCCCAGACTGTAATAATAAGAATTGCAAGAAAAAGTCTTCATGCTTAATAAAATACCGAAGCCCAATAAAAGAAAAAGACTAATTCATAATGCATGTGCAGTCAAAAAAATGAAAACTAATTCCTCAGAACCTTTACTTCTTGTAGAATCTCCTGTATGATTAATTGAATGAGAAAATAATGTTATTTATTTCATTAAGCATTTTCTTCAAAAGGAAAAGATTTTCAAAGGAAAAAAGATCAAAAATTTTATAATAAAATCGCATAACTTTGAATTCTTATAAATCCTTAATCTACTAATAATTTTTAAAAAAACTCTCTGTCATGCTATTCTTTGAATCAAAGAGAAAAAAATCATGGAAATTTTTTTACTCTAACTTGTTTGGTTATTGAGCCTATACGTTTCAAAGCTTAACAGTATTTTTAACATTTTGGATGATTTTACTAATAAAATTAAAAAAAACTCTCTGTCAGGCTATTCTTTGAATCACAGAGAAAAAAACTATGGAAATTTTTTTACTCTAGCTTGTTTGGTTATTGAGCCTATACGTTTCAAAGTTTAACAGTATTTTTTAACATTTTGAATGATTTTACTAATAAAATTAAAAAAAACTCTCTGTCACCATGTGGACTATTACATTTCTTATAATATCACTTAATTTTATAGTTGTATCTTTTTTTTTGAATGAGAAGATGCAATTTTTATTTTTATAATTGTTGAAAAAAAGTTTATTAGTAAATTTTATATATGATGATGTTAATTAGTTTTGACCATTGTACAACCCAATATTATATGATGACAATTGAGAAGGAATTGGTGAATTAGAATTTGGCATCATGACTTTTTTTTTAATTTAATTCTTAAAATTCACAAAATAATTGATTTGTTTTGCCATCTTTGTCAAGTTCCTTAAAGTGTAGAAATCCTGTCTTGTCTCATTTATTTTTGGCGTGTAATAAAAAGGAGACATCTTGTTACCCAACCTATTGGTCATAGACAATGTTTTCGATGTTTCAAACATTAATAAACAATGTTACATATGCTATGACACGATTTTTTTCCCCGGATATCTTAATTATCATGTGACCCAACTATGGTTTAGTCACATTCCAAAAATGGATTCAATATGGTATAACTCTTGAAGATCGTTACACATTACATCCCAATTGGTATAATAATAAACTCAGTATGGTGCGTGTCACCTAGTCATCAAGAATTTCTGGATGCCTTTAAAATGTATCTAGTCCCTCAATTTTTGTGTTATAATCCATTTAATTGGTATTTGGGTGATGATTCAAAATCTGTAGGTAAAAATGCAACTGAAAGTTTTATTTTTAATATTAGCAATAGAAATGATATTAATTCTGCACAAT